TGAGTATATGATATAACTACCATATCATAACTATTAATTAATATGAACAATATACATATCAGGAATATCCTATCATAAATATATCATTAAAGTATAAATATATTACAATATATGTTGGGAAAGGCCTTACACGAGGCACCATTTTGGCAAGGCGTTGGTTAATAGCTAGTGTGAAATTAAATCATTGAGATCAATATAATTATTAATAATCGCTAAGATAATTCACAAAATAAACGAATAACGGGGCACCCTAATATCTACGAACTAATAAAAACATGCATACGTGTGTGTGTGTGTAAGATAAGGAGGGGAGCTAGCTGGACGCTAAGCTACCAACCACATGGCTGAGGTGTTGCTAGCAGGCTGTGTTTGTACACCACGTGTGTTCCTCACGTAGTTAAACCTCTGTGTGTCTGAAGACTCAAAGCAAAGCAGATCTTATTAGGAACAATGAGGCACGATAGCGGTTAACTTCATCACGTCATGCAGTTCATAAACAATACAGTAAACCCAAAAAACAAAAATAAGGACACATGCTAATCTAACTTCTGCCCAGACTTACTGTGCGTTGATGTCTTAATTTGGAAATATTATTGAGCATATTCCATGTTTTAAAAACACAGACACATATATTGACTATTTGTAAAATGTGTTTTCGATATAGTTTTTTTGTGGCTCAAGGTGGGGTCACGCCTCATTGCCCTCTATGGACCAGCCGCCACTGCGTGTCATATGCAGGACACAGGATGACTATTTCTAACAGCAAGGAACTCTAATGCTGTCCTGCAGCATTAGAGTTCCTTGCAACAAATCACAGACAGAAGTATAAGTCCACAAGCTTACAAACCATTCAGATTCAGACAATTCAGGACAGGTTTCATAATCCTCAGCAGCATGGCACCTATCATAGAGGCTATCTTTAATTTAGGTCTGACTGTATGGTAACCTACTCTCAAGCAATATACCCGTTCATCCGCTAACAAAGCTTTTTAACAGCTTGTGTTTTGAAATGTAGACGCTTTAAAATAAGTGGAAATGTTTTAAAAAAGGAGACAAAAAGAAGCAAACAAATCATGTCAGTCGGTGTTCACGTGAACCAACTTTTGAAAATTTTCACCGGAAAGTACTTATGAGTCTGATTCTGTCTTTTGATCCATTTATATGGGCAGTTTGGAAAAACACTAAAGATGCACACTAAAAAGAAACACGCACCGACAAGAAGCAAATGAGCTGAATGATTGTGCAGATTTCCTTCCCACGAGAAGCTCAGGAGAAAATCACAACATAAACATAAAACAATAGAACTAGGAAGCAGTTCTTCACTCATTCCACTTGGTCAAATCACTGTACACACCTACGCACGCTAAATATAAACCCCTACAAAGGGATCGCATCCAACATACCAAACAGGAAGCACAAAGTATAAACACTTTTTACGGATTGAAAGAAAACTCAATGGCTTCTTAAACACTGGCTGTACGCAATACAGCCTTTAATTTAAGTGGTATGTGCTTAAGGTACAATTATTCATTGCCATAATAATAGTGATATTGTGAATTTGGATTGCTAGATATGAGGTTAGAGGGGCAACACAAGCTCCCGAAGAGCACTTTAAATTATCGTCAGGTGCATCGTGCTGTGAAGTCCCCAGTAGTGTAGAGGCATTGAGCGCAGCCTGGTGTGCAGTGCTCATGTGAGCTGGTGTGCAGCGTCCTTTATAGCATATTTGTGTGGTGTAAGTATATAGCGTAGTGTAGAGTACGGCTTGTGTACTGCGTACGGTGGCGACGCGGCACCGACTGCCTTCATCCAAGGGAAACTTTGGCAGGGCAGATACTCGTCATGTTGAGTAACCTCATTGAGTAATAGTCTGTTAAACAAACTTGACATTCCACTGACACAGAAATGTGGCAGATCTGTTTTGGAGGTGAAATATACAGCTCTCCAAATCTCCACGATAAATTCAAATGTTACGGTGTTGGTTGGTCCTCGTTTTCTGCCTCTTGTGTCCTTGGGTTAACTTTCCTTCCTCCCCCTGGTGTGTTTTCTCCCCCGTTGTGATTGTCCGCCACTCCAGTGTGTTTAAACCATGTCTGTCCCTCGTCTCGCTGTTGGTATTACTTTGGTTTGTTGACATGAAGCCCACAAGCATGGAAACATTTTTAATAATTCTATTAAGTCTATAAGTCTATTATTCGTTACTAAGAATTGTAAGACAATAGTCTGAGTATGCGCCGCCGAAAGGTGTGGCTCTGGGCTTTCCAATATCTCTTCAAAGATCTTGTCCTCCTGGAACTTTTGGTCACCAAATGAAACACCGTTTTCTGATTTGGCTCCTGCGTTAGACCTATCTGGCCGGCCTGGAAGTCCTCATGGATCCTTTTCACCAGACCACTATGATGGCCTTCACCAGCTCTGCCGCTCTATATTCCTTCCCTTTGTGAGGGGTCAGGACTTCAACTCAGGTGCAGAGCAATAAGGCAACAAAAACTTCCAAAAAGGTTTCGAATCTTTTACTCGGAAAAAACTAATGCAAGATAAAAAGGGTGCACAGGCAAAGGCGGAATCCACACGCTCTTGTAGAAACAAAAAAAGTAAGAGGGCCTGGCAACGAAGTAAAAACAAGATAACCAAAACAGCACTGGGAATTTCTTACTACAAACAAGCACCTCTGGGAAAAACAAAAGATAACCTGACACAGACAAGTGGGGGAACTGAGGCTTAAATACAGGTGGAGGTGATTGCAAACTAAACTCAGCTGTGGGGAGAAACGAAGGGTGAGAAACTAGATACAGGAAGTGCAGTGGTTACAAAAATAAAACAGGAAGTTAATCTTCACTGTCTCTTCGAGTCGTCACACCCTTTAACATCTGCACATGTTTGACCATAGACCACACACGTTGTCTTATGTATATTGACAGCCCAATTGGAACAGCTAGGAAAGATACATGGACTAGTAATGTGATGTCAAAGTGGGCTGCATTGTTTAACTATTTAGTCCCATGAAAACACAAAAATGAAAAAGATTTTAATCTGATTGACGTGACTGAAACTCAACTAAAACTACCACAATGTAATGTTGGGAAAGCAGCATCAAACATGACCGCAGGGTGTAATAATAAAGAACGACACCTATTGACTGGGAAAGGCAGGAAAGTTTCCCTTTGGATGTTGATTCTGCAAAGGATAAATGAGTGTTATACAACAAGCTGTGTATGGCAGGGACCTTGTTTAAGACCCCACGTGACAAAGGCAGATTCAGACCACGCTGAGTCCGCTGATTCAAAAGTGCCTCCTTCTGCACAACTCCATGAGGGCATTCTTCTGCATGTTACGCTACATTTCCTATTGCCTTTGAAAAAACATTTCAAATTCCTACAATACGCCGCTTAGTTGTTGGGAAACAGGCTCATATGCTTTCTGAATGACGGTAAGATGTAAGAATGTAATGAGTTTGGCGTGATTGACAAAGTATACGGAGCCAGCAGCTGGTTGGTAAGAACCCACTGTACGAAGGTTCCAGCCATGTGCTGCACATGATGCCAGTGACAGGCCAAGTGGTGAGCGGTTAAAGACAAAACAGATGAAAGCTAGTCCAGCGAGTCTGAGCTCTTCCAGCTACTGGCTGGATAACAGAACGGGTTGGCCCGAGCACTCAGTGGGCACAGAGCAAATGCACTTCTCCTGCGCTCTGCTAACGTACCCCTGTCAACATAACTCTAGCTTGTATTCAGCCACACACTTTTATCAATGGAGGGATCGGCATTTCATAGTGTGCCGTTTTATGAAGGGAAAAAAAATAACATATGTTGTCATAAGTCGTTTTTAAAGCTGACAGAATTATGAGAATGACTGAAAAAAAGTTTGTACGTGATTTGTAGTTGCAGTACCATAAAATGAATTGAAAAAGAAAAACGGCCTTGGGCAAATAGCAATACACACCGGTGATGATGCAATGTTATGTTGTCTTGCATACCGTGAATTCTCCCACACTAGCAAGCCTGCGCTGCTGTGTTAGACCACAGGGACACGGAGGGCTTAATGAGGATCTGAATCGACACCATGTTGGTTTTTCAAATGACATGCTGTGTCAGCACTGCAGTTGAAACGAATGGGAATAAAACCCAATCTCCGGCTGATCTTTGGCTGTACTTCAACCAATCAACGTCATCCACCCGCTTCTCCAAGCATGGAGCAGGAACGTGCGTGTTTGCAAACCCTGGTCATTTTTTAGTATCTCAATAATTGACTTGCAGGACGATCTATCCAAACGAACGTACAGTATGGACACAACATGTTCTGCGGGGAGACACAAATCTAGCGGGAATGCATGAGTCAGTTTTTTGATAACAAGAAGCAACATCAAGGAAACCAAGTCAGGCTGACTGGGCTTTTTGCAGGTGGAAAATGAATCTGAAAGTGAATCTGTGGAAGTTCGTGTCACAAACAATGGCGTGTAATGCATATGGAACACGTATGAAATAAGATCATCTACTGGGGCTGTTTAAGAATTGTATATAGATGTAGCTGTATATAAAAACGTGCGAGCATGGAGTAGAGAGGGCGTGCCGGGAAGCGCAGGGTTGTCGGTTCAGACCCCGTCTGCTCCATGTCCCATGTCGAAGTGCCCCTGAGCAAGACACCCGACCCCCTAACTGCTCCTAAACGTTAAACCTTTGGTTAAAAATGCATTGCAAGTCGCTCTGGATAAAAGCGGCATGTACTGTAACGCATGCTTGTATTTTACTCTGACGAACGTTATGAGCAACCTGGTAGAACTTTAGTTGGTCGCGAATAAAAGTGCGTGTCGGAAAGAGCGTTGAGAAGCTTTAAAAAGTTTAGTGCAGCTGCGCACCTGCAGTCTCCCCAAATAAAGAGAATGGGCCGGACTACAAAGCCCACATACACACACACACACACACACTCACACACACACACCCGGCACTGTGTTATGGGCGGATCCCCCCCTCGCTTCCACTCCCCGTGCACTACTTTAGCAGGCAGTATCTCTCCGGTCGCGCACGTGGAGAGACGCCGCCGCTCGCGCCCCTTGGTTTATGACTCGTGAGAAGCTCGCGCCCCTTGGTTCATGACCCGTGAGAAGCTCGCGCGGTCTCGAGCCCGACGCTGTCATCACCCGCGGCGCTTTTCACGCACTCCGCAGGGCCGTCGCGCGACCGGAGCAGCGTTTGGCGGACCGCGCAGAGAATGAGTGCCGCGTAGCTCCGCGCGTCGCTGTTATCTCCCCCACTCGCCCCCCGGGCCGCGCGCTCAGGGCCGAGTCGTTGTACACAAGAATGGTAGATAAAGGCCCCTTGTTGACATCTGCCATTATTTTTTACCTGTCCATTGGGGCAGCGATTTTTCAAGTCTTGGAGGAGCCCAACTGGAAGGCGGCTGCGAAGCGCTATAGAGACCAGAAGGACACAATACTTAAGGACTATCCCTGTCTGACCAAAGACGATTTGGACAAAATATTAGAGGTATGCTTCTACTACAACTTCTCAGCCTCCTGATGCAAATGCTCTGTAAGCTGCTGGGACGTGAGCTGTTGTAAGTTCAGGGTTCCTCCCTGTGTGTCAACACCACAACAGCAACACGGCTGTTGTCACTGAAAGTTCATTGAACGGTTACACGTGCCCTCGTAAATGTTCACTTTGCCCGGCTGCTTGTGATGATGATGCTGATTATTTTATTGTCCAGTTGATAACAGGACAGACGGGCGGGCAGTCTGGGGCGGTGACTGTGGCACCAGGGTGCTGAGGGTCAATCTGTGACCCTTGGTTCGTGGTGTTCCATTGCTATAATTTCTTGTTAGAATTGCTTTTCCTCCGCTGGTAGCAGAGCCGCGGGCCGTTGACCTCCACATGGTGAGTCAACACCGCCTGCGATTCCACAGGTGTTTGCATCATCGCGTGTTTGTCCACTTCCTCCACCTCGAGGGGCTTCTGAGACCTCAGAAGCTCCATGTGGGAGGGAGAAGATGGGATCTTTGATGGGAGAAGACTTGATCCGTGTGTTTGTGGTGTCCACATCATGTGTATATTCAACCCGCGAGTCCCACTGGTCTCTTTCTGTCTTTGTCCATTGGGGGGGGGCTTTTGCACTTTCAAGTAAGAGCAGCAACATGCCTGAACCCGTTCCCCCTTTAGGGCCTCATCAGTATTAGGGAGATTTATTATCCCCCACCATCCCCCCTTCTGCTTCCTCCGGCTTTTCCTCCTTGTGTTTAGGGGGGTTTGTGAAAGGGATACGCCTGTGACCCTCCATCCCCCCCCACCCCACCCACCATGCATGCATCCCTACAAAGGCTCTGCCTCTTGGTGTAGACGGAATATCACAGTTGGGAGATTTGGGAACTGCTCCTGTGGAGTCTCTGAAGGACAAAGGATCCGTCGTGTCATCTGTGCGCTTTCCAAAGACGATATGAAATCACACGTTTGGCTTCTTGACCTGTTTCCCCGCAGAGATGCCTGCTGTAAGGGCTTTAAAGTTGCTATATTAAAATGTGCAATATAAAGCCCTTGACTTGGCTTTTATTTGCATGAGCAGCAGAGGTTCTTCAAGGTTTCCATTGAGGAAACATTGCTCTGCGCGTCAATGATTTTCAAACCTATAAACTGGCTTAACGAGAGACGGCGACACTAAAATCTTCTGCTGTTTTACTAACAAGGAGTTTACTATTAACTACAGGACCCTTGAAGTGGTCACAGTTTGCAGTTTAGATTTTATGGTCCATCAATGCCGGCTGTTGTTAAAGTTCAGCGAAGCTGCACACACACGTCCGCTCCATTGCAAATAAGAAGCCATGTGTGTTTGTGTGCTTTTGTGTTTGTGTGTGTGTGTGTGTGTGTGTGTGTGTGTGTGTGTGTGTGTGTGTGTGTGTGTGTATTGGTCAGTCGGTCAGTCATTCAATTGGATCTGGTTTCCACAGCTACATCGGACTGCTGAGAAATCTCACACAAATAATATCGAATTGGATGAAAAGCTGTAAACAACCACTGTATTTCTTCTCTAAAAGATTGTTTGGGGGCTTTGTTGTCTTTTTAAATTGGCCGTGCAGCTGAAGAAGGGAACGGGAGAGAGTGGGAGCAGCTGAGAGCCACTCATGCGTATCGGCGGACTGTGGGGCTCCTTTTGTTAAATTGAATTGCTTAACAAAATAGTTGTCTGTTTAATTCTTGTTTTGATCTACCAATCCTTGCCAAGTAAATCCAGCTCTCAATTGCTTTAAACCCTCGGTGCAGCATGTGTAGAGCGAGGTGTTGTATGAAATTTGTTGTTGCTTTGCTCAGTGCAGCTTTGGTAAGCAAACGGCCTTTTTGAGTTCCCTTATAGCACGGTGGTCCCGTCCCTCTCGCATGACTTAAAGGCCACTTGGAAGAATAAGTTTGCAACGCAGCGTTGTCACATGTGCAAAGTAAATCTTTGCCCTCTGCAAAATGCACAATGAAGCAGCGCTCTGTGTGCAGCGTTCTGCCACTGGCTTTAACTAGCGGCCTTTCATCCATCTTTTGAGAAGTGCATTTAAAAAAAGGAGCTATACTGAGGTCACGTAAAGGATGCATTTACTTGCATTGGTTTTAGGTTCGGGCAGTGACGAGACAGGGATGCCTTTATTGCCTTCGAGGCCTAATTCGATTTAAGGGCGCTTTCAGTACAATGTGTAAATGCCACTGTTTACGTCAGCATCGCAACACTTCAACACATCATCTTTATAAACTTTATAAGATATTTACATCTTTATAAGAGAAATTCAAGAATGAATAAAAACACCACATGTTGTGTTAATGTGGCAAGTTCTAAAACCTCATGCCGAAATTAAAGCAGACATTCACAAATCCGCCATCGGTGATACAGCTTTCGTGTCTCTACCGAATGAAGAAACAAGCTATAAAAAGGATGGAATTTGTCTGTGCTTTCTTTCTCTGAGCTTTGGGCAAAGCAGACTGTGCATTGTTTCTCATCCTTGTTGTTCCCCTGCCGCCAGTTGTCAGACTCTTATCGACACGGAGGAGCCCGGGTGACTCAACCCGTCGGGCGGGCCGCGCTGCGCCGCCAGCTGTCCTGATAACCGTTGGTTTGTCACTGCGTTCCTCAGAGGGGGTAGAGGAATCCTTTTCAGAGGGAAAGCATAAGGCCTCGCATTGTGATGTGTTGTGCATTTCTCGTTTAGCAAATCTGCATTCTCAGTGAAGGCAGCGCACACTGGAATGCTCTGCCATCACATATAGCTACACGAACGGTTTGACAATTGGCTTGCTGCCAATCAGGAGTGCGAGGATTGATGTGCGGGGTGTTCTGCATGCTTCATGTGCATTTGTCTTATTCAGTGTTGCTATTTCTCTCTCTTTGCATGATGCACGCTCAAGATTGCTGCTCAATTGTTTTCTGTGTACTCCTATCTGAAATTGGTGTTCCGTTCTATCAAGATGCGCCTGGCATTTACTGTTTTAGGAGCAGCTGGGTTTTTTAGGGTTAGGTTGTTTATGCGGTTCAAGGTTGTTTCACGGAGTGTTCACTACTCGGAAAGCGTTAAAGCGAGGAGATCTTGCTGCTTTTATCTCAATCTGACCGTGAGTGGAAGTCAGTGTTGCGTTAATCATTAACCAGACTGCGGCGTGTTTTGTGTCCGTGGTTTTATTTAACACATTTACAGACGTTCTCGCTCCTGCTTTTATTGTCCATACACAAAATCCCACTTTGATGTTTCTGAAAGAAAATCTGACTATTCATCAAAACAGATTGCTGGTTTAACGACTGTAGTTTTTCCGTTTTATGTGGCAGAAGACGCTAGTTTTAGAGCAGCATGTTTCACCTTGAACTATTAATTTATCATGAATTGAACATTACAGGTCCAATGCGCCTGAGCATCACACAAACGCTTTCATCTTTCTCCCTTTAGACTCGTTCTCATGGTTATTGGTGACTTGAAGGGACCACGGGTTGACCAGTTGATGGCCGCTAGTTGACCTTGTCCTCAACAGGTTGAAAACCAACGCCTGTTCGGTAATGTTATCGGGTCCAGTGGCAGATCCTCTCCTTGTATGGTAGCAATACAGGACATTTAAACCAACCTTCTAGCCTCCAAAGTGCCTTTTTTTTAAAGCGTCCTGTTGCTGGCCCTCTTTGCCGTATTTGTATCGTGCTGCCCTCGTTCTTTTCCTGTGAATCAGCTCTTTGTAGGTCTCAAACTTCAGGCAGACGGTGAACATGTGCACGCAACCCTCATTAGACCACTTTGTGGATGGTGGAGAGCCAAAGACACCGGCAACAAACGTGACTCCCAAGCATCATTTTTGTCACTTTTCAATGTTTTCCATTCTGCCACGAAACAACCCTGAACAGTCAGCCTTAACTGGCGGGGTAAAGTTTCACATAGGTTGGAAAGAATGGTTGCTTGTGTGTGGGGGATTTACCAAAAGGCTTTCATTTGAATCCTCAATTTACTTTCATGTGGTGAGACGTGTCTCATCACTTTCCATTAGTACAAGACGCCGTGCTGGAAACATGATGTTCATGCAATGCCCTTTTTCTTGTGTCTGTGAGCAGTTCGGTGAACAGTTGTTTCTTACCATTTGTGCAAGATCCTTTTGGGGACATTTTGATTACCGGTACATAAAGACATCTTGTTTAGTTGTTTTTAGTGTTGACTGGTTCATTAGGCTGCAGTTGTCGGGTCTCACAGGTTGCTCTAATGATCAGTTTCAGCCAAATAAGAATTGCTCAATAACACGAATATGTATTATTATGGACTATGGAGGAATGTCCAATGGGAACGTGCAAAAGCAGGACCTTTGTGACAATGGTTGGAACCAAAATTTGCATCACATCACTGCCGTCCTTCTAAAGCCGGCCACCCATCCCTGGCTGGTAATTACAGCACACAGCTGTCACACCCCTGTTCTTAAGAACCAAGACTTTGCAGATGCCTAAGGGCTAATGTATGTTTTGCCAACCCCTACATATTTGGCCCAGTCAAGCCGTTTGAGAGGTGGAAATTTAAACATTTCCATGTAAGAGGGATCTGATGTAGCTCCTGCTCAAGTGCTTCCCAAATCTGACAATGTCCCTATATCCTCAAAGGGGGGGCCTGTGGACAAACTGCTTTAGGGAGTAAGAGACAAAATTATCGGGTTTCTTCGGAATAATTATTTTTGTATTCAGTCCAATTGTAGTGAAGAGTAAACTGCTATCTTCAAGTCACGGACTGTTTTATTGCCTTTGTACAAGCCCTTTAAAGAAGCAATTTTAGTGTTTCTTGCATTATAAGGAAACAAAGGTTGAATATCCTTTGACCCATTTGATTTGGCTGGCAAATTATTTACACAAATGAAGATTCTTAAGACTTTCTGTTTCCAAAACCCCTCCAGGGAATTAGCCTGTGTTTTCTGTAAAGTCCCCAGTTATGTAAATAGAGCTTTTATGGGTGAACTATTTTGTTCGGGTCACATATTGGTGGCCACATAGTTCCAACAGTTCGGAGGTGCACAAAAATGAGGCTTTAGTCTGATGGGACCCTTGTTTTTAGCATCGGTGGTGTTACCTGAAATTAAGTTTGAATCGATCTTCTACGTCCTCAGGTGGTGTCTGATGCTGCAGACCAAGGGGTCACCATAACTGGCAGCAAGACCTTCAACAACTGGAACTGGCCAAACGCTGTTATCTTTGCTGCCACTGTCATCACCACCATCGGTAAGTACTTCTTGTTTGTTCAGATTGAGAGTTCTAGTTGGGATGGGAGGAAATAGTTTTTATCTGTTTTGTCAAAACTTAGTTGACTGTTGCGGAGATGTGTGTGTGTGTGTGTGTGTGTGTGTGTGTGTGTGAGGTCATTTTATTTTGTATAGCCCATTATCGCAAATTACAAATTTGCCTCAGAGGGCTTTACAGTCTGTACACATACAACATCCTCTGCCCCGAAACCCACCATCGGCACAGGAAAAACTCCCCAAAAAATGAAAAAACCCTTACAAGAGGGAAAAAAGGGAAGAAACCTTAGGGAGAACGTCAGAGGAGGGATCCCACTCCCGGGATGGACAGACTACAATGGATGCCGTGTGCGTGTGCGTGTGCGTGTGCGTGTGCGTGTGCGTGCGCGTGCGTGTGTGTGTGTGTGTGTGTGTGTGAAAACACGAAAGGTACACAATGCAGATTAGAAAGGCTCTGATTCAATATTAGTGGCATGCTGTTATTTCCATCTCCTCCTGTACAGCCACACTAAAGTAACTTAAGTAGGTGATTGGCAGGTCCCATCCCTTAAGCCCTCTTGTTTTTTGCTGTTTATTCCAAAGGATATGGGAACATTGCCCCTAAAACATCAGCAGGCCGTGTGTTTTGCATCTTCTACGGCCTGTTTGGGGTGCCGTTGTGTCTTTCCTGGATCAGTGAGCTGGGAAAGTTCTTTGGTGGCAGAGCCAAGCACCTGGGCCAGTATCTAACCAAGAAAGGATTTTCACTGGTAAGTTAGTAGAGGCGTTTCCTTACACTGCTTGGAAAAGTACGTTCCTTTCTCTCTGTTATCACAAAACCTGAAGTAATTCTTTTTTTCATTTTTCTTTTCAGAGAAAGGCTCAATTCACCTGCACAGCGATATTTCTCCTCTGGGGTGTACTGGTGCATTTAGTCCTTCCACCCTTTGTGTTTATGTCCCAAGAGGGTTGGACATATGTAGAAGGATTGTACTTCTCCTTTGTCACCTTGACCACCATTGGTTTTGGAGACTTGGTGGCAGGTAAGCTGAGAATGAAACCAATTAAATAAAATCTGTTCATAACTTTGAATTCTAATGACAGTTAACCATTTTCTTTGTCCTTGTAGGTGTGGAACCAAATACAGAATACCCAACTCTGTACCGTTATTTTGTGGAAGTGTGGATTTATCTGGGGTTGGCCTGGCTTTCTTTGTTTTTCAACTGGAAAGTGCGGATGGTGATTGAGGCCCACAAGGCACTGAAGAAGCGCCGCAGGCTGCGCAAGCTATCTCTTGATGAACTCCAGCACTACAAAGAGTCTCACAAGGCTGCGCTTCGTCTGCCACCGACTCCCAATGACGTCAACATCTTCAGCTTCCTTTCCAAGAAGAAGGAGGGCTATAATGACTTGATCAAACAGATCGGCCCCAAAAAAGATGACAAGAACCACGGCACCGAAGCCATCGCCATAAATAAATCCAAAGATACTGTTCGTTCAAAGAGCTGCAACGATGCTCCCAGTTTGAACAGCCACACCATCCTTAGTCTGGACCGATCGCCGCGCCAAAAGAGGCGCTACAGTTTCAGCGACCGAGTCACTGTTGCTTTTTCCAAGTCCAAGAACTACCTGCTGGGCGCAGATAGTGGTTCGCTACTAACAGAGGACCAAGTAGAAGGTGAGGTGGACCTCGACCAGGGCCGAATGTACGAGAACCAGCTGGACAAGGAGGTAGACCTAAAGAACGGAGGGGGGGGGGATTGTGAAGTAGGCGGTCGAAGGACATGGGACTCAAAGGAGTTCCACCCCCTAACATTCAAAAATGCAAACATTACTTTCATAGACGAGAACTTTCTCAGTGATGACTTGGAGGAGGAAAATTATGAGGATTCTAAGGCAAAACTATCCATTACTACGTGTGATGAAAACGTTGAAACAAACTCCAAGGAGGAGCGTGGTTCTGAATCCGAGGGGTCGGTCTTCACTGGTGACGGTTCGGAACACAGCCACTCGTATGAGAAACTGGTGGAGGAATATGCAAAGGAAGATAATACCGAATCTTGATATCACAAAGCCTTCAACTGTCCTTCAAAGTCCAAACGTCTTCCTGGTTCCGTTATATTCCAATAGGAATTGTTTGAATGAATATCAGTCCCATTGGACTTTTGGGGATCTGATAATGACTTTAAAGGCTGGATCAAATTTCTATGAAAGGTTCTGTTCATAGATGAAAGTCTGAGTTTTCCCATCAACTCTTGTACAATCTTCTAACCCAGGAGTATTTAACAACTACTCTATTTGTGCCTTTTTATGTAGTCTGAGAAACTAAATCCCTCACCTTTTGTAATGTCCGAACAAGAACCATTTACCCTGAGGTCTGGTAAGAGAATATGTGGAAATGTATTTGGTTCCCCGTAGTTCATGCTATGCCTATACACCATATTGGTGTTTTTCATATTTATTCAAATGAAGGACATACTGTAGTAGCTTTTATCCAATGGGTTTATGTTTTCCATTGCACAATTCCACCTAATGAGGACAGTTTAAAGTCTGTCAGTGCAGACTTTATTTTTTTAAAAACCTGAGCCAAACATTTGTCCTTACTGAAGGGGGTTAAGGGCAAATACCTTTTTTTTCCCATGGTATGTCACTTTGAAGTCCTTGTTGCTTAGCTGTGTCTGATATTTCAGTTTTTTATTTGTTACTGTGAACCATAGCATTGTGACATGCACTAGGGGTTAACTGTGATGCACGGCAACCTGTCGGGGGGTCTAGAACTAACTGAATAACTTTTATTTTTTGTATCAATAGGGAAGCATTAATGGCAAATGTGAATGTCCTGCCGAGAGACACTCTATAATTATATTTGATAAGCAGCCTCCCTTTATTTTATTACCGCTATAAAAGAACAATCACCTTTGGAAATGATTCTCAGCCTTGAAGATTACCCTCAAATTGCTTCAGTGAACACATTGTTTTATTGTTGCTTTGCTGTTGACGTGTCAATCTGTGGTGTCCGCCGTCTATCGCGGCGGAAACTCAACCTTTTACAGCAACGTTGTTTTGTTTGTTGTCTCTTTTTGTCGGACCGTTTTTCTTCATTGCATTTGTCATGTAAAGACTGACCAACAAGACTGTTGGGAGCCACAAACCCAGTTCTTCCTGGGGAAGCCGTGGCCCGGCTGCTCATGTTTGCCTTTGGGGGCACGCACACTGACCAGGTTAAAGCAAGCGGTCGATGCTCTGACGTACGTCTCGGTCAGGAGACCTGGAGCCCGAGGAATCGGTGCTCATAACTATTGTGTTGTACTTCCCCCTTGTTTCATGTGTACACAAGCTTAAACTCCAGGGACCATTTATTTCATTGCTTTGCCCAGTCTGACTGGGCAAGGACTTTAGAAAAGGTCCTTACCCGCTGCCTTTTGCACGCGTTAACTTGCACACAAACTGGTACAGTGGATATCGAGATTGCTAAGCTTTAAATTTTACCAGCTCATGGATAATACAGATGAAATATGGTCAAAATGATGGACCACATCTCAAAAGGTCCTTAAGTCCAAACACATTAAAACCCATTGCGCCAAGATGTTTCAGAAAGTTGCTCCATTGTGTAGAACTCCATTTTTTTTTTAATTATTAAGTTATTCACGTTTGCATGTAAAATCCAAACAAACCTGTTTTTCATGTTAATAAACATTTAATAAAACTTGACTGTTTTTTGTGATGCTTGCATTATATTTAAGTGGTCAAATAAATAAGTATTAGCCACTACTTCGTCAAAACGCAATATCAAATGTTTTCAATGACCCCAAATCAGGGTGATACTATTTGTGTTTGTTATAATTGCCAAGTAGCTGATAGACCTGACTTAAAGGTTACGCAGGATGTTTCAGTTTCATTTGTCTTCTGTATCTCGAGTGACCTGTCACCGGTCTGTTTGAACAATGTTTGACATATTTTGGCTAATAAATGTTTCCTGATTCCTGAGATGGGGAGAGGCGGAGAGCGAGACGCGCAGTATCAGAAAGACAGTGAAAAAATAGGTTGTGACAGAAAAAATGTTTAGAAAAACATCCTTTGGAAATGTGGAAATACACGCTTTTGCACGGTTTCCAGCTTCAATTTTAATATTTACTCCAATATATTTACACATGCATATTTAAACTGTTGACACCAAGGAGGCCTCCCCTGCTAGAGCTTCCTCTCTGATGTGTGTAAGTCTTCATTTCCTGTCTCCGAGACAGCCGTGTAGCAGGCCTCCTGAACCGGTGGGCAACCTCCTCCACAGGGGGTCCGCTGGTGACAGAATGGAGCTTGCACCCTTTGGCGGTGGCCCAGATATGGGAGCTTCTTAGCTTGGTCCAAGTTGATGTCGGTATTCGGGTTAGATAGGGCTTTTTTAGGGTTAACTTTTCTATTTCTGTCTTTATGCCTGTTTGTCGGTTTCCTCAGGCGTTTTCAACTGAGCTGCGCTACGTCTCGGAGAAGGCCAGCAAAAAGTCCATCCATTTCAATAGGGTTAGGGATATAGGAGGTTGGGATAAAAGCATTTTTGCTCCTTTATGAAGGATACGCGGCTTTCCTTCCTTCCTTCCTGCTTCCTCCTTTAGTATCCATATGTATCATTGTTACACAGACTAAACTACAGACGTCAGCTTACAATGGCGGCCTTAGTGTAAATTATTTAAAATACTATTTAAAATAGTGTAAAAAGTTTCATTGAGAATTCAATGGTTCCGTATTAAAAAGACCTCTACAATACATGTCATTTTCTTGTGAAGTTGTTGTGCAATATTTGTATCATGTATTCCCTTTTTTTAATCTAAGTGACACCTGGCAAGGTTCACTGTGCACACGAACATCAAGGTTATGCTGCTGTACAAGTGAACCACGCTGCAAAGGGAGACCCTGACATAACAACAACGCTGAAAACCCAATTGTGAGTAATAACATTCTGCACAAACACAATGTAGTCCCGCTCATTTATCTGTGCTTATAAATGTTTTTTTTCTTGGAGACAAGCTGTTAAAATATCCTGATCTGCCGAACAATTCAAAAGATTAGCTTGTGCATAACAAGTTGTAGTTAATACTGGCTAGAAACGCCAATGCCTGAATGGGTGCAGACGGATAGGCCATGATATTGACGTAATTATGGCTTCAAAATTGATATTTAGAAAAATAAACAGCAGCATTTGGATACTATTCTTATCTCTTAACTTGTATTTCCTCCCAGTCGTTTGAAAACCTGTTGCGGAACAATGTCTCACCACATTTCCACCATCAATGTTTCACTAGTGGGTGGTGCGGGAGAAGCTTGGCCCTTACCAATTAACCGACGATGGTTACTGAACCAAAACCAAGCTCAAGACTCGCTGTGGAAAATGTGCTGAGCCTGGTGGAAACCACAGTGTCTCCTGTTACTGTGGGATTCATGACCCAACACAAATGTCAACCCCCATACATAACTTCACCTCGCACCACAGGTCATTCATATGAATGCTGAGCCCATTGTTAGTTAATTATCCCACGGTGATGAAAAAAAGCTCCCGGGCTGTTGTGCAGCTCATGGTTGGAACTTTTACCCTCTGAGCTACAGATCTAATGAATCAGTAATGAAACAGGTTTGTGAAGTGATGGGATTGGATCAGAGCGGACACATGACGTTAGTGAGGAGAGTGGAGACTTCAACCCTGAAAAAGCCAGATATCTCCCACTGGAGTGTGTAAAGATCTAAAACAGAGCTGGCAGAGAGACTTCTGTTCTTAAAAAAACGGCATTTCCTTCCCATTTTCTATATATAATACTATATAACCATTAATCAAAGTTAAGAGTTTGGCCTTAAGCTTTTATAGTCAAAAACTTCTTCTTGACTGTGTGCTCAGAGTTCATTGAAACCAGATATTTGTTTTTGGCAATATTGCATCTTAATTAGACAGATGAAGAGTGTGGTGGCAGATCAGAATCGTTATGTATAAGATGCACAAGGGCCCTCCATCCCGACCCACTTTTAACCATTCAGAAGAGCCCCCACCAAATGAAGTCTTACGATTGAAACCACTCAACTATGTGAACAATGGCAGCTAAATTATTAAGTAGGACCACATAACTCAAAACCCAAAAATAGGTTTTCAAGGTGTCAGCGTCATAAAAGCTGAGGACACAAAAAATATTCCATTCATTTTAAGGGTACATACTTCGTAATATTTGGGAAGAAAATTTGAATGTGGGCAACATATTACTTTGAAAGTTTTAATGAACCGAAAATGTATTGAAAATAACATCTAACCTAAGTGCAGCTATGAAAGTTGGTAAAAATAATAATCTGTACATCGTAATCTTTGGATCAAAATGTATAGTACGCTCGCCCTGCAAATCCCAGTAGGTAACGGAAATGCACACAGTACGAAGGAAACAGGTGTAATGTGGGACCAATGTCCCACATTACACCAATGTAATGATGTAAGAATGGGAATTTGGTTGTTGGACTTAGTCCCTGAGGCCGCGTTTGCCTTCTGCTACAAAAATGTCGTACCCTTGATAAAAAGTGTATTAACGTCACACATTTATTTGTTGCGTGAGTTGTGTTTGGAGCGTGTACAAACAGCTTCAATATCCGTGTAGCCTCTGATGTTTCCAGAGATATGTGGCATTATTATATTACGTTTTTTTCTTGACGGGATTGATCCACTTCCGGAGCCCCGGAGGATAACAGCACTCTATTCAGGGATTCAGGGACAATGTTGCCTGTTAGCTAGAGAAATAAAAAAGGAGCTACAGTATATTAAATACTTATCTCACGACCGCAGCTGCATAATGCTCAATTTGCAAGAACCTCAGGTAGAGGATCAGAGAATGTTGTGTCTTTAGTTTCACACAACTTAAGCTTCAGACATTTCATCACGTCAGCAGTGATGATTTTGTTTCGTATGCAAAGATTAGATGAGGACAGGAGATAATATGCCTCCTTTTGTTTGCTGACAGGATCTGGAAACCTGCGGCCAGAGTAAAATTTTACATAAACTGGAAACAGATTGTTATTGAAGAGCTAGACCCCCGCAGATAAGTTCACAGAACAAACTTTATATGTCGCATGTTATATGTCTTTACTGCCCTAACGCACATAATACACTTAACACATCTGGATATGCTGATTGCAATACAAATTAATCAAATAAACACATTTCTGCACACTTTTCAGTTTGAAAGAATACCAATATGGAGTTTGGGATAGTTGCATTCAGGCCCTGATTTAATTCACTGTACCCGGATATTGAAATATAATGATCCATTCCCAAAGGCCTTGTGAACGACCTTGTAGTTAACATGTAATTCGAACATAAAGATGAATCTACAATTTTTACATTGAAGAGTGCAACACAAAGCAGGGCGGAAAATGAACCGTTTGTGCGATGAGCTCCTGAAATTTTGCACAGTTATGCTAAATGGCATAACGGCCGGCCACCTTGTGCCAAAGAAAACACACGACTTTGCCATATTGTCCTGAGAGCATCTCATTTCCTCCAAAGGTTTTCGACAAGCGGCTAAATTTGCACTGCTGGTGACCCGTAGGTCTTCAGAACGCAGGGGTGCGCGTCTGCGTACTCCCTGTGTGAAGAGTCAGATTACACAGCGGGTCCATGAAAGCAGCCTTTCACACCGCACTGCTTCCTTCAGAGTTTGTGTTTCCCAGATGTCGAGTGCACTCGTGAAGGGATTACAGCGGGACCAGTTGGCGAGCACACTCAAAGTCAGAGCACACAGCCGCCACATCGCTTTAATGTGGGCCGTTACTGCCTCTCACGTGACAGTAAAGACGCATTCTCTCCTCAATTTAATTGACTCTATTTCCACCATATCCATTACAATGGCATTGTGTGACATGCACGCGACTCAATTGTTTCTTCGAATAACTTCCAAAACATGAGCGTCACAAAAACAATCCCTGAAGTGACTAACTATAGCGTCAGAATAAATCAATGCGCTCTTCTTTGTGTACAAACAACACGGTCGTCTTGGGACGCGGCGATGCCAGCTCACCTCCTTGCCAACAAAGGAAGAGGGGGAACCAGATGGAGATTTGTTTTCTTTTGACCGTAGGAGAGTCGGCGCGACAACAGTGCAATAAGCAATGCCACAGGACCTCTCTGACACCCAATTGTTTCCTGAGGTTCTGTGTCCGGCCTTCCGGATCGGAAGCTTTTGGGCACCCCCCCAGATGTGTGTGTGTTTGTTTTGGATGTGAGAGCCGGGTGGGGTTTTTTTTTGTAAGAAAGCAGGAAGTACATTGACAAAATGCCTCTTGCTCTTCTGAGTGCAGGAGAGGATGGGAAAGAAAGACACTGAGCAGTGCCACCATCAGTCGGTCATGTTGACAGCAGGCATCCCCGTGTGAGGAGAGAAGGCATGACCTCAACCCCTGACCCCACAAGACTCCACCAACGTGATACAGCCACGTGGAACATTTACATTGAGCCTTTATCATCATGAGTATGAGTATGTGCGGAAACAAGACAGGCAATTAGGTAATTAGGCCATGAGACCTGTTTAGTTGTAGCATCGACCCCCTGCACACTTTCATTTCTTCGTTTGGAGCGCGCGTGCACGTCACTGAGTCTCGAGTTTTTCGAGAATGTTCCCTTGCCGCCCTCTAGCGAGGAACACACACCAATACACCGCACAAATGCCGTCACATCACAGTGTGGCTTTTAA